CCATTTAGTTATAAACCGACGTTAGCTTCACGTTTATGTCATACTAAGGAAACAACCAAAAACATGTTGCTTGTTTTTGAGTGGAGCGGATCGCCAACCAGCCTACCGGCTTGTTATTTTTAATTCTTATATAGCGCATAAAAACTTTAATCTAGCTCTATGTGCTTTACATAAAAATAATTATAATAATATATTATTTAAAAAAAAAAAGAGATTACATTGAATATTAAATTAAAGATCAAAACACATCATTCTACTGATGTACAATGATAAGCAATATTGTAAAGATGAGTTTTTAGTCAAGACTTGAAAGCAGACAAAGTGGGTGCAAGGCAAAGCATTCTGGGAAGTGTGTTCCAGAGCTTGGGTGCAGCAACCGAAAAAGCCTGCTTTCGGTAACGGCCTTGTTTATAAGGACCTGGTTCAAATAACCTTGCAGTGAACTGGAATATAGATGGCGCTTCATTGTGTGAAATCTTATATACAAACACTAAAACAATTCGTAGGTAACCAGTGAAGATTTTGAAGAACAGGAGTTATGTGCTCCTGTTAAGTACTCGTTCAATCTAGCCAGTCAACTCCCTTTTTCCCATAAATTTTAATTCAGCAGGCAATGTGATTGAGTGAAATGCACTGAAAACCTATACATTTTCCCATTATGATCATTAAATGGTATCTAAACAACATTAAATATCATTAAAACCAGCACTCTATAGAGGGCAGCATACAGTTTCCATTACCTTTTCACCGATCTCAGTTTGATCACCACCGGGCAATACAGCTATATCTGGTGTCAGTGCACAGCAATCTACAATTTTGTTGTATTTTTTTTGTATATACTTGGTACCAAAAAGAATATTATTCTGTAAAGTAGTATTCTGGATCCATGCTTGTTGTGCTACGTAGGCAACTGATCCCTGCCGACAAATCAAAGAATGCATAGAAATTAAGAGAGTATTGAAATTAATTCACAATTTAAGATTAGCCTTTCAATCAAGAAGCTTGGTAACTAATAATTGTCAGCTATTTGAGATGCACAACATGAAAACTGTGTGATCCACATTATCAAAATTTATAATATTTACAGATGTCACACACAACGTAATATTATTGGTATAGTACAGGTGTGATGGTTCAAATACCAAAATGGCAACAGTAACATAAAGACTTCCCTGGCGGCAATGATAACATGCGAACACGGAGCCAACAGATGATGTTTCAACTGGTACTGGTATTATTATACTCTGCAAACATCAAGTACAATAACGCGGTAAAACTCCACTACTCCAATAACTTAAACTCCAATACAATTCAACGAGATCTCCGATCTGATCTCAGTGCTGAACAACTCCCCTATATATACCCACACTGTCTATAAATAGACCATTACATCAGCATACATAATGAGTCTGGAACTTACTACAAATTTCTAGAATGTTCCATTACCTATTCAACCAGTTTCTAAAAATTCCACCCAGACACAGTACGGTTCTAGAACATTCTCAGTCACACGAAAGTGGTAAACAAGTCGTATGCGACAACAGAAAATACATTTGATTTTAAACCTGTGACAAATTCAATTTAAATCTGATTTTTTGAGATATCAGAAATGGTCTAATAATTAGATAATCAATATGCATTTTTTTCAACATTAAACTAATAATGGCTGTGGATGACCCCAATGAACCAAATAAAATATTATGCAAATTAATCAATTATTATGCATAAATTTAGGTCAGTGTATTGTTCCAGGGTGCTCATGGACCAAGTTTCATTATAATGTGATTATTAATCCTAACAAGCGATCTTTTAGTCGGTAGAGCTCCACTGTAATTGACAAGTGCAGAGGGCAGTGGCAGTTACTACCAGGTAACATTGGCCCATCCAGTTCATGTCCAAGACAATGTGTTCTGAGAAAGCCCAGCTTCCAACTGATACAATTGTCTGCTGGTCGATGCAAACAAATATTGAAACAAGCCATGCATGGCACAGTCCCCATTAGTTATCAAATTTAAGATATATAGTTTTGTTTATACATGTAGTAATATAGCTGGAATATAACCATGTCAGGAAATGATTGACATTTGTATCTGATCGTCAAACAAGTACTTGTCCATATTGAGAGATATTGCTCTGGAACAGCATTCAAAATCAGCCATTTTGAATACATGTATATAATATATAATATATATATATAACATGATGTATAACGAATATATAAAATTTCAATATAATCAGTCAAAGCATTTAAGAGATATGGCTCTAGAAGCCCATTCATGAAAACCAAATGGCTGCCAGACAGCCATTTTGAATCTGATCTGCAAAATAAATGATGTGCATCAGGAACCTGTAATGTCTAATATATGTACCAAGTTTGAACGAAATCCATCCATAAATGGAGGATATTTGATTTTTTTAGCACAAAAATGGCAACCATTTGGCCATTTTGAATAGGATCGTCAAACCAATATATCTGTCTATCTATGACATGATGTATAATGAATATTTAAAATTTGAACATAATCAGTGAAAGCAAGTCAGAGATATGGCACGAGAACCACATTCATTAAAACAAAATGGCCGCCAGTCGGCCATTTTGAATCCCATCTGAAAAACAAAATTATTTGCATCAAGGTCCCATAATGTCTAATGTATATACCAAGTTTGAACAAAATCCATCTGTAAACAGCCGAGAAATGCTTGATTTTCAGAATTTTTTAGCACAAAAATGGCCGCCATTCGCCATCTTGAATCAGATCGTAAAACAAAATGATGTGCATCAAGGTCCTATAATGTCTAATGTATATACCAAGTTTGAACAAAATCCATCTGTAAACAGCCGAGAAATGCTTGATTTTGATGATTTTTAGCACAAAAATGGCTGCCATTCGGCCATCTTGAATCAGATCGTAAAACAAATTGACGTGCATATGTATAATATTCTGTATGATGTATGTGTGAAGTTTGATTGTGATTGGTCCAGGCAGTTCTAAGATACAGGTCCGGACGCACGCACACACAG